AATGCACTGCGATGCAGAAATTCACCACTGCCTGCTCGCTTCTGGTTCTGCTGCAGCCTTGCTCGCTGCTGCCAAGTGACCTGTCAGGTGTGGAAGGGGGGGGGGGGGGGGTTTAGTGAAGGAAGGGAGAAGAGAGAAGTGAGTGCAGGGAAGGGAACGCCAACTAAGGGAAGGGGAAGGGAGTGCAAGGACAGAACCAGAAAATGAATGAGCACGAATTGCAAGGGAAGGAGAGGGGCTTACCTATAGGAGCCGAGCCCACTCCAGAGACTCTCCCTAGCAGTTAAGTGCATTGCTGCTGCTGCTGGGATACGGGGTGTGGTGGGTCGTGAGGAAGAAGGGCGAAGAATGGAGTGAGTGCAGGGAAGGGATCAGGGCTCAGAGAATCAAAAGCGTTTGAGTCAATTGCAGCAGGGAGGAGAGGGTTTACTATGGCCAGCCAAGCTGTGTTCAAACTCCCTTCCTCGCAGCAGAGTGCATCGCTGTTCTCGCTGCTGTTGCTGGTGCACCGCTCAGATACAGGCTCTGCCGTAAACTTGAATTGCTGCTGCCAAGTGACCTGCCAGGAGCGAGGGCGGGGAGGGGAGGGGGTGGGGATGGGGGGAAAGGAGGAAGGGAGAAGAGAGAGGTGAGCGCAGGGAAGGGGGCACCAACTAGGGCAATACCAGGAAGTGAGACGGCTGAAATTGCAGCAGGGAGGAACGGGGCTTTCTTTGAACAGCCGAGCCCACCCCAGATACTCTCCCGTGCAGCACAAGGCAGCCCTCTTCCCAGCCCTGCCATATGCGTCCCTGCACAGCCACAGGGGGGGGGGGCGTGAGGGAAGGTCGGTGTTGACCCCTGCGCCCCTCCCCCCCCTCTGCAATGCACACAAGCAGTAGCAGTCAGTGCCAGGGCATGGGTAGCAACCGGAAACCGGAGTTGCAGAAACTGGACGGAAATGGAAGGGTGGGGCCACTGATGGAGGCGCAAGCACACGCCACAGGCCCCCAAGGGGACCTGCAGTGGCCGAACCTGAGGGGTAACCTGAGGGGTTACCTGAGGGGTAGCCTGAGGGGTTACCTGAGAGGTTACCTGAGGGGTTACCTGCATCTGAGGGGGTTACCTGAGGGGGTCTGTGGCATGTGTGCCGGGCCTCAACCTTTGGCATAGTTTGCAGGGCTAAAGGTTGTAGGTAGGTTGAGGTCCGGCACACATGCCACAGACCCCCTCAGGTAACCCCCTATGAGGAGCAATAATTCAGAGTTATGGAATGGGCCGGGTGTAGGTAGGAAGGTGAAGTTGGCTTACCATGCAGCAGCAGCGGCAGCAGCAGTGAGAGTGTTGGAAGTGGAGCCATGAGAGGGATCGACGGGCCAGTGACCATCTCTCAGGTCCAGAGCACAGCACCAGCAGTCCCCTGCAGCCCCAGCAGTCCTCGCACTTGATCTCCTGCAAGGGAGGGAGGGGAGGAGGGGAAAGGGGGGGAGGAGGGGAAAGAGGGTCAGCTGCAAGACTAGTAACTTGGTGAGTAAACCGAAAGGGTGAACAAACTCTGACATGGAAAGGACTGGGGTGGGTAAGTTCGGATGTGGGCTTACCTTGATGGTCGACCACCCCCCCAGAGACTCTCCAGTTTAGCAGCCCTCCTCCTCCCAGCTTGCCCGCCTGTGCATACCTGCACGGCCACAGGGGAGGGGCGTGGGGGAGTGTCGGCGTTGACCCCACCCCCTCCTCTCTACCAGCAGGCAGCAGGGGGAAGCGGGCAGAGGGAAGCGGGCGGCAGACGGAAATGGGCAGCAGGGGGAAGTGGGAAGCAGGGGGGAGCGGGAAGCAGGGGGGGCGGGCAGCTGGGGGAAGCAGGCAGCATGAGGAAGCGGGAGGCAGGGGGAACCGGGAAGCAGGCAGCAGGGGGGGGCAGGAAGCTGGGGGGAGAGGTGTGCAGGGGGGAGCGGGAAGCAGGGGGGATCGGGAAGCAGGGGGAAGCGGGAAGCAGGGGGGATCGGGAAGCAGGGGGAAGCGGGCAGCAGGGGGAAGCGGGAAGCAGGGGAAGCAGGCAGGCGGGGAAAGCGCATGGCTGGGGGAAGCGGGAAGCGGGGGGAAGCGGGAAGCGGGGGGAGCGGGAAGCAGGGGGAAGCGGGAAGCGGGGGGAAGTGGGCAGGAGGGGGAAGCGGGCAGCAGGAGTAAGCGGGCAGCAAGGGGTAAAACCTGATAACTCCTCTCAGGCAGATCTGATGAAGGTATTCCCCACGCACTTGGGTGAGTTCTTGGGGGAAGGGTGTCTGGCTTGCTGCCTCCCTCCCATTCAGATTTGCGCTACACTCTGTTGGTCGCCTCTGATTGGCCTCACCCATTTTTTGGCCGTGCATGTTGCAGCACGCGGTTGGCTGCGGCGTTCAAAGATCTTTGTATTGGGTGCTCCAGGTGGCATGCTTTGCTCATTGTGGTTGGAGTGCGAGTACCCTAAACGTGGGTTCTCATGCGACTGTGTCTGGTCGCACACGCTTCAACAAATTTGCTTCTTGTTTTTATGGGCAGCGCATTGCATCAGCTGTGTAATGTGTGCCGTTTCGAAACCTGCCCTGCCCGCAATTAACCCCCTCTAGGTTCGCAACCAACCCCTCAGGCGTCTGGTGGGACCCTCCATCAAGAGGAGTTCCAGCTTGATACCCCCTGTGCTATTTTGCCGTGGGGTTGTGATTTTGTGTTATGTTAGTAATCACATTCCTTGCGTTGTGATTTTCATTTGTGCTCCTCTCGTTCTGTTCCGATCAGATACGTTCTTCCCAGTCATTCCCTGCACTTCTCCTCCTCCCTTTACTGTTACATCAGCGCTATCACTACCACACTGATGGTAGTATACCTTCGGTATGGTCCAGGTCTTGCACTATGTAATCGTGAGTCAAACTGCAGGCATCGGCACGGCACCACCGGCCAAATTGAGTCGACTCAACATGTGCAACAAACATATGGCCACGTGCGCCAGTATGCAAAAAAGGAGCCAACGTGCATTGCATGCACGAAGAGTAAAAGCTTCTGTGGACTGTCCTACCACGCTCAAACAGTAATCACCAGCACCCGTCTTGAGAAACTTACTCTGCGGCCTTCCTTGAAGCGAGAATTCCTGTCAGGGCTTCGCAGGGAGCCTTTCCTTGGAGAGTAGCTCTTAATGGTAGTCCCTGCTGACTCACCCGATCCCCAACCATCATCTCCTGTGTCACACTGTGCAGATGCGCCATCCCTAAAGAGATGGCTGTTGCTGTTGCTGCCAGGAAAGCTGCAGCTTCTGATAGGTCGCTTCATGGCGCAAGACACAGGTGCTGTCTGCATCGTCTGCCGAGCCTCAAATTGTCCAGAGCTGTCAAGGCTACCGGAGCTGGGTAGCTTTCTTCTTCCTGCATCGTTCTTCATAGCACCGTCAGCATTGCCAGCGATCCCAGCCCAGTCCACGAAGCCCACCCGCAGCGAGATGCGGGACACTGCATTGCGCATCGGCATGCTGGCTGTTTCACAACAGCTGCTTCACAGGCGAATCTCTGACTTGAAAGCCCTCCCTGAGCCCTTGAAGCCCTCAAGGGACTACCAGCTTTCAAGCTGGAGCGGATTTGAAGCCTAGTAGGAGACTGAAGCCACGCTTCAATAAGGAGTGAAGCTTCGGGCGGACTCTCAGCAGATGTCAAAAAAGCTCCCGTGCTGAAACCTAGAATCAAGCTTCTAGGGGGAAGACTGTTCGGACTGGACTTCTAGTCAGGAACAAAGGGAAAAGATTGAGAATCCGGGGTGGGATCTTCGGGTAGAATCTTTGACGGAATGATATAGCCACTACTTCGGCTACCTTATGTAGCCTAAAAAACGGACCAAGTCACTCGTCTCTCCTAAATCTCCGCGCTTGAATATCTAAAAGATCAACGGACAAGAACGTCTTGAAGAAGCGTGTGCTCTGTCGCGAAGCAGGGTATAGCCAAGGCAGCCTCGGTGGAAAGCATGTCAGTGACAGCTTTCTGCAGGCATGCTTGGGTGGCTAAGGGCCTCAGTCCTCTCTGCATCGGTCCCCAGGGGGCTTAGTACCGTGGTCAGCTTTTGAGGCGCCTCAAAGCCTGTCAGTGACAGCTTTCTGCAGGCATGCTTGGGTGGCTAAGGGCCTCAGTCCTCTCTGCATCGGTCCCCAGGGGGCTTAGTACCGTGGTCAGCTTTTGAGGCGCCTCAAAGCCTGTCAGTGACAGCTTTTTGCAGGCATGGCTGGGTGGCTAAGGGCCTCAGTCCTCTCAGCCTCGGTCCCCGGCGGGCTTAGTTTCGTGGTCAACATTCCGTCTCCGAGATATGTACAGTACACCATGTAAGTACACCATGTAGAGTACATTACCTACAGTATATTATGTACAGTTCATTATGAGCAGTACGACACCTATCCCAGATTAGGATCCCCCACCCCGTTGGCCAGACGACTGACTGCTGACGGCCATGCCCTACGGGGTTTGCAGCAACGGATGGTTGGTGCGAGTAGCTGCTGCTACTCGTAGAATCACCAGATGAATTCTGTTGGATAAGTTTTGTTTTTGAGAATCCTCGAAAACAGGACCGACGAGGCGGCGACTCCCTGGAAAACTGTAATAACGGTACAGCGTCACCAACGCAGCACTGCTTGGTGCGAGTGGCTGCTGCTAAATCAACAGATGGATTCTGCTATCTAAGGACCTGTAGCAGCTGTAATAGCCGTCAACTGAGCATATTGTACGAGCAGACGTTGAATTTTACGGCTAGCTCACGTCGTCTAGACCATCGAACGACCCGCTTCACGTCGTCGCGAACCAGACACACACAGGCCTAATCGATCGCGACTGCTCGCACCACCAGCGCTCAAAGCCTGGCATGGGATGGGACTCTGGGAGTTGAATAAAGACATTACGTAAGGCTGCACATCGGTTAAAGCTGTCGTGTAGGTATCAGCCACTAACGAGCGTCTACCTACCTACCTACCGACGGCGTCGAGGACTGGGCTTGTTGGGCTGTGGATTGCTACGCGTGATACTGGCTGCGTTCTGCAGGCAAAAAGGAACAACCTTGTAGGCATGGAAGGGAACATACTTAGACCTCCCAGGAGTTGCGTCTCTTGCGATAAAACGTGGATAACGAGAACGGTTACCAGAGTCGCGAGCAGGGTCACCAAGGTTTCGGGCTCCGCATCACATCAGTCGAAATCTGGCGAAGAGGGTTACCAGCCCCAGTTGCCAAGCCACAGGTCATGATTCGCTACGCCAAATTGCTGCCCAGCTTTGTTGCGACGAAAGCTGGCTGACTGGTTGAGCTTCAACTGGCAGCCACTCTGCTCTGCAACAGGAACCACAAGGAGCCAGTGTGGCAGGCACGCTCTATACTCATTAGAGGGGCCGGAACCAGTGACCTGAACATACTCGTTAGAGGGGATGGAAAGCTACTTCAACTCCCATAAACATTGGCAATTCTACATGCCATACGATGCTCTGCCTTTACCTACATTTGACTAGGGGCACTGTCAAAAACTCAGCCACTAACCACTGAGATAAAATGGCTTGTTAATAGCGGGTCAGTGCGCTCATAGCCCCCCAGGCTCTGCACCTGTGGCCTTTCCCCAAAGATCTTCTCAAGGGTAACCCCAACGGGTCACTCGATACCCACCTGTAAGAAAATTGGAATAGTTAGAAAGAGAGAGAACAAGGGAGATATAGGGTTGGGGTTGTACTTTCTAAGAACACACACCTATTCTAGCCTATAACTTCTACATGCAAATGCATGTATAAGTTGACACACCCCTTACGCTCAATAAGGGGTTGTGCTAAGCAAGAAGCACACAACTCAAGGTGGCACTACTAGTCCAACCTCTAAGACAGGGGTCTGAAGACCAATCAGCAAGAGTACAAACAAGGCAGGAGCAAACCAGGGCGGCGCTACTACTCCGGCCACTGGAAGGCCAGTCTGAAAGATATAAAATAAAGAGGAATACACAATCAAGGTCCTAGCAAGTGAGAGTCTACAGGAACTAGACCAAGCTGCAAACAGTGCCGCTGATGATCTCTAGGCGCAAGCGCCTTAGTAAAGATATCAGTTGTGTCGGCACCGGAGGCCAAGTGTATTACGTGGGCCTAGCGACGCTGCTATAGCTCGCGCAGGAGGAAGTACCACAGCTGGATGTGCTTCGCTCTGCCCTCAAGCCGAGGCTCCTGACACAGGAGGATCATGGCCCTATTGTTAGCGTACAAAACCGAGGCAGAGGTAGGCCACTCACCTAGGTCGGGAAGCAAGAAGGTCAGCCAGCTGAGCTCTTGTGCCGCCATGACACCGGCGTATATCTCATCCTCACAGCTGGACTGGGCAACAGACGAGGAGCGAGTGGACCTCCACGAGATGGCACCTGAACCAAGGCTAAAGCATTAGCCCTGGGAGAACCTGAGGGTCTCAGCGTCGTCTGCCCAAGAAGTGTCTGTGTGCCCAGTAAGGACCACTGGCCTGCGTTCTCCGAGCACTAACCCCATGCCCGATGTACTTGCTAGATAGCGCAAAACCCTCTTAGCGGCCGACCAGTGATGTGGTCGGTGTCTGCCTGTGGCCACAAAGCGAGCCAGGATACTGAGAGGGTATGCGAGATCTGGACGAGTGCAAGTCATCAGGTACATGACGCAACCCACCAATTCTACGTAAGGAACACAAGGCTCTACCGACTCCTCTGGAACTGGAGAAGAGAGCATGTAATCTACAGGCAGAGGTATGGGCTGTGCGGAGGAGAACTGAAGACCGAACCTCTGAAGGACCTGACGCACCAAGTGTGACTGTATGAGAGTGATGGTGTGCGCTGCTCTGCCCCTGGAGATCTGCAGGTCAAGGTAGCAGCGCAACTCTCCTAGGTCAGTGCAGGTGTGTCTCCTTAGCAGCTCAGCCTTCACAGAGGCCAGTGCGTCTCTGTCTGCAGTAGCGAAGATCAGGTTGTCTACGTTGATAAGGATGTAGAACGGGGTCTAGCCAGTACCAACGAAGAGCGAGGGGTCTGCAGAGGACGGAAAGAACTGCAGGTCAGCTAGCGTAGCATGCAGCGTGTCGTGCCACTCATGGGGCGCCTGCTGCAGGCCGTTGACCGGGCGCCAAAAGAGCCACTGGATCCCAGGAGGGAAGGTACCGGTGAAGCCCTGCGGTCGGTGTAGGTAGACCTGCTCATGTAGAATACCCTGGAGAAACGCTATGCAGAAGTCAAGGGAGTGTAACTTGTAGTCACGCTGTGCTGCTATACATAGCCGGTGGATCTCCAAAATACCATCTCCTACTCCATGGCAGCTATCCTCTGTGAGGCTCAGGGTTACGAGGTCGCCTCGGCGTAAGTGCGAGGGGTCAGGATATCAAAGGCGTCTGGGTCACCCTCAGGGACTAGCAGCATGGAACAGAGATGGGAAGCAGCCTCAGATAGGAAAGCAAGCTCGTACTGTCTGTCCTCTAGGACGTCACTGCCAAGGGCAGACGCAGCCCCGACGGACGGAGGATAGACAAGATCAGAGACCAAAGCGGTGGCGTAGTCAAGGCGGCGAGTAGAAGCGAAGTCAGCGACGGCAGCGACAAGAGCGTCAAGACTCGAGACAGGGACAGACGGGTCGGGTAACGAGGGAGGGAAGGATGCGAGGAACAAGAGGACAAGCGGCACAAAGGTAGTCAGACAAAGGAGGAGGCGCGACAGCGAGCGACGACGGAGGAGGCGAAGGCAGGAGGGGAGGACAATATACGTGGGAACGAAGCAACAGAGGGCGAGAACTCTAAACAGGAGAGGCAGGACGAGCACGAGAGGGACGGCGAGACCAGACGTGAGAGGGAGGCGTCGGGTTAGGGGACTGAGGACGAGACACAAGAGGGGAACAAGGGCCGTAGACAGGAAGAGGAGGAGGTCGTGGGGGAGGCGCAGGCGAGCGGTCAGGGGAGGGAAGACCGACAAGGCGAAGGGCGGACACCGGCGGCGACTGCTGCTGCTGCTGCTCGACGCCGACACCTGGACCGCCAACCGCACCACGGCTACCTCCGGAACACTCCACTCCAGCACCCCCAGAACAAGCACCCCCACAGCGAAAACTCTCTCCTGCACCAGTGCCACCCACAGGCTCGCTAGGACAACGCATGACAGGAACCTAGGACTAGCACCCTCCTTAACGCCAGCACCCCCAGAGTCTACGAATGGTTGCTGCTGCTGCAGCGGCGGCAGCCGCGGCGACGGCTGCGACTGCTGCGGCGATGGCTGCGACAGCGGAGGAGGAGACATCGGGGGGGAGGCATGCTGCGAGAACGTCATCGCGGGGCCACCACAGTCAGCCGACTCCTCGACCGGGACAGCCGACGGGAGGGGAGTCACGTGAGACACACCAGATGGAGCAGGACGGGGAGGGAGGGGAGCAGGGGCTACCGGGGGAGTGGGAACCAGAAACAGGGCCGGGGAAACCGGGAGACCTCTGTGGGGAAAGCGGTGGTAAAAGGAGACAGACTCGTCGAAAGTGGCGTCACGGGAGTGAAAGAAGTGGTGAGACGGCGGATGGTAGAAGTGCCAGTCAGACGAGTCAAGGGGGAAACCGAGGAAGACACAGAGGACAGTGCAGGCAGTGAGCTTGTCCGTGCAAGAGGCACGAACTTGACTGAGGTAGCCCCACACGTAGAAGGCGGACGTGTCACCAGGGAACCCGGTCCAAAGAAGGGTTGGCGAAACCTGCGGCCGCTGGGAGCGCGGCCATAGGTTAACCTGGTGAGTGGCGTAGCGAACGGCGAACGGCCACAGAAAATGGGGTGCACCGACACAAATCATGGAGGTACGGGCCACCTCCATGACCAAGCCGATGCGTCGCTCAGTGACCCCATTCTACTGTAGGGAGTTCGGTAGGGTGTACGACTGGGTGATGCCCTCCGCACGACAAAACCGACCAAGCCGACCAGAGGCAAACTCACCGCCACGGTCGGAGTGGAGACACAGTACACGAAGACCGCGGTGGAGGCGCGCAGCTACGACCCACGGGATAAGAACGGCAGACACATCGCCCTTCCGCTCTAGAGGAAACACCGTGGTGTAGCGCGTGAATTCATCGACGAGCACGAGAAAGTAGCGCTCGCGACGCGGTCCGAGGATGGGGGCTGCGCCCCAGACGTCCTGGTGCAGGGGCAGGATGGGTGCGGTGGCAGGGCGAAGCAAGGAGGAGTGAATAGCACGGCACAGCCGGCCCTCGACGCAGGGCGTGCTCGGCGGCGCAGGCGAGGGCGGGAAGCAACAAAGGGAGACCTACGACTAGACCGTTCTGAGACATGTGACGCAGCCGCAGGAGTGCGGGGTGACCTAGGCGGTGGTGTCACAGAAGCGACGGGTGAGTGAGCGACCGACACGAGCAGGCTGCAGTGACTTCGGTAGACGCAGGACTCAGGGATGACGCGCCCACCTAGGGGGAAGCAGTGTCCAGCGTAAAGAGGCCAGACACTGTGTCCCAGGGGAATGTCGCAAGGGGGGCACATGAGGCGGCCTCGGTACAGACAGTGCACCACTCGTGACCAACGAACGCAGTGGTAATGCCGAGGTCGTGAAGACAGCCGACACCAACTACAGTAAGTTCCTGGAGAACGAGGGGATGTGCAGGCCTGTAAGGGAACCCGAGGGGGCCGCTGGACAGGGAAGGGTAGTGGAACTGCGAGCAACGACAGGACCAGAAGAGGGGTCAGCAAAGGCGACAGAGGCAGGGACAGCAAGCGGCGTGAGGGTGGCGTTGTCGCGGAAGAAGCAGGCAGACGCACCAGAGTCGAGCGCGAGGGACAACGACCCAGTGGTCGCAGACAAAGGAGGAGCAAGGTTAGAGCCTAGGCTAGACAAAGGAAACGGTCCTACGCCTAACGTAGCAAGGGAGTCTGTACTACACACAGGTGCGACGCCTAAGCTAGAGAACATAAGGTAATAAGATCCGGACACACTAGAAGCGTCAGCATACAGAGAATGCAGGGCAGAACTAATAAGATCCATGTCCAAGTCAAACGCAGGCACACC